AAAAGAAATACTACATTTCCATTGAACATAAAAGATTCCAGAAAGAAAGGACCACAGTAGTTTCTAGATCAATGAAGTATCAGACAGGTAATAAGAGATATTATCAAAATATCCTAGTGAAAAACACGTGATGAATGGTATTTCTAATTTAGAAAAATTAAATTATTTCCAACTTAATAATCATATTTCAATTATAACTTCCATGGCGCTTTAGCTCCTATAGTAAGTACCTTTTCTTTATATAATCATATTAGAAGCTTTAAAATAAATTTTAAGCCAGAGCAAGATGCTCAACTTTACAATTTTTTCAATGTTCAGATTAACACAACATGAAGATATTTTAAGTGTTTTAAGGAATAGCTGTAGTTTAAATAAAAAGAATTTTTCATCTGAACTATTAATTCTAAAAGGAATATATGATAAGGTATTCAGTGGCCTAGCTTTTGGCAAAAATTAAATCAGCTGCCCTCACCTCATTTTTCCTTTTGAAGTGATATCCACTCGAACAGGATCAAATCTGTAAGCTGGAGATATAACTTCCACTACATAAGATCCAGAAGGTATATCATGAACCACAAAACTCCCATCTGTCCTGGAAAAATGAAAATCATATTTAGCTACTTCTGATCAACAGCTTAGTCTTTTCTTATCTGCTATTACCAAATCAACTCTCCCAAACAATGACATTAAAAGCAACTGGCAAATAAATAGGCAAAAGTCCTATGCTTCAGTTTCTTTCTTCCCGTCCTTTCCTTCTTTCCCTCCTTCCCTCCCTCCCTCTCCCACCTCTTTCTTTTTTACTGAAGTGCAATAGAGTCTCTCTCTCTCTCCCTGTTTTTCTTTCTTTCTTTTGAGAGTCTCACTGTGACACCCAGGCTGAAGTGCAATGGTGCGATCTTGTCACACTGCACCTTCTGCCTCCTGGGTTCAAGCGATTCTCCTGCCTCAGTCTACCGAGTAGCTAGGATTACAGGCATGCGCCATCATGCCTGGCTAATTTTTGTATTTTTAGTAGACATGGGATTTCACCATGTTGGCCAGGCTGATCTCGAACTCCTGACCTCGGGCGATCCACCTGCCTTGGGCTTCCAAGGTGCTGAGATTACAAGTGTGAGCCACCGCACCTGGCCTTCAGTTTCTATAATTACACTGAATCGGTTCTGAAAATACCCAAGCACTCCAAAGTAGCAGAGAAGCCTAACATAGAAAGTAATTATTTTCCTTCTATGGGTAGAGATGACAGGTGACAGAAACACAGTTCCCATTCTAAAGCCATTTCTTCATTGAATATACATTATTATTACAATATTAGGGTTCAATATTGCCAGTCACCCCAACAATTTCTTACTATTAAAAATAGCATTTTGGCCAGGCACAGTGGCTCACACCTGCAATTCTAGCACTTTGGGAGACTGAAGCGGGTAGATCACAAAGAAGTTCGAGACCAGCCTGGCCAATATGGTGAAACCCTGTCTCTACTTAAAAAATACAAAAATTAGCTGGGTATGGTGGTGTGTACCTATAGTACCAGCTAATCGGGAGGCTGAGGCAGAAGAACCGCTTGAACCCGGGAGGCGGTTGCAGTTAGCCAAGATCGTGCCATTGCATGGGACAGCGCAAGACTCCATCTCCCCCACCCCCGCCCCCCAAAAAAGGCATTTTGTTCTAATTTTAATCTGCATTTTTTGGTTTTCTGTTCTTTTCACCAAATAATAAAAGGTATTTAAGTACATTTGTTCTACTTGTTATACATAATTCCCATTTACTTTGGTTACTAGAAACTTAAAATGTTTAGTTAAAAACATCCATCTTTTCCTTACTGATTTCTTCTAAACTTCCTAGACTTAGAAAACCATCCTAGCAAGAGCTGATAATTTCATTTCACAGATCAAAATTAATTTGTTTGGAAAATGAGAAACTACTATTCTGAGGGGAAAAAATTTTGTTTCAGGAAAACAAATGCTTCTAAACAAATCAACTGTATCAGAGAATTCCCAATATCGTAATAATATATTAAAATAATGGTTCTTAAATCTTTATACTTTCATAGAGGAATGACTAATACTGATGATATCCACAATAGTTACTAAAAAGTAAGATGAAAAAGTGTTACTCCAAAGCACACACTGAACTAAGATGGAACTGCAATGTAAATAAGTTAACTTCTGCCTGGGCTAGACATCTTCCATTTGCCCTCTAGATCCACTCTCCACCTTTCTCCTCTTTGCAGACTGGAGAAAGGAAAGAAAATTCGTTTAGTATATTTTCCCCCCAGCTCTCTCACTGACAGGCAACCTATGACTGGCTGTGTCAAGGGACTGGCTTGTCTTTCAGTGCAGCCCTTTCTTCCCTTCAAGGTTTCAGTAACCTCTATTCTTCTCTTCCTTCAGGATTAGAGGTGGTGATAATAATCTTGAGGTTGTAAGCTCCAGGGTACTGCACAATCTGGCTGTTTCTCTATGCCATTACTATACTGTTTGATCATTTGATCCCTTCATTAAATTCTCCTTGAATTACTATAATTTGAGTGCAACTTCTACTTCTTTT